CCATTTTTGTACCAAACGAAGCGTGATTTAGTTAAACTGGTCGTACTATACGATATAGGATTTGTATAGTATGCTAACCAGAGTACGAAATGCATTCGTACCAAATTGTACCAGACAAATTGGTATAATTTTGAATTGATCGTACTGTACGATGGAATTTCATTTGTACACTCAAGGGAGTGAGAGAGCAACAAAATTAGAAGTTCAATTTTCTAAACAAATCATATTGTATGATCAATTAATAAGAAAATCATAAAAAGGGATAATTTTGTAATTAAAAATATTTGGACTAATTATACTAGATAATCTAGATCGTACAATATAATCAGTTTAAATAAAGACTCCAATCGATAATCATAATTTATGCAAATCGTTAAATTCAAAATTTTAACTAATCATATCCTACGATAAGTATTGTGATGTATGATATAATTAAATATTACCAAAATTAATTCTACAATTAAGTAATGATTTTAAATTAATTGATCTAGTAAGATCGTTAGGATGATTGGACCCAGTCATACTGTACGATCAAATCCTTGCATGGGACGATAATTTATCATTTTCAATCATCCAAGATGATAATCTAAGTCATTTAAACAAATCGTACTAAATGATTCTCAAATCGTACTAGAAGATCATCTTAATTCATTGAATTAATTGTACAACATTTTATTCTTTGTGCATTACTAATATGATTATTTGAACTAATCGTATTGTCATACTATACGATCAAAGTCACTAGAATTAAATTTCTAGGACTTTTTAACACCTTGTATTTAATCTTTATAATGAGACTTATTTCAAGTCTTTATATGTTGATTGTTCTTGAGAGAGAGCTTGGAGAAGGGATATAAAAGAGCATTGGTAAGAAGAGAGGGAAAACTTGTGTGTAAGGGATAAGTAGTGTGATAGGTTCACATAGATGCTCCAAGAAAGTATCTTGCCTTGTTTCTCCAAGTGTTTATCAAGGTTTATTAGGTGACAATGGGAAGAAGTTCTTTAGCTCAAGATCATGGTTCTCTACCATCACCATGAGGGTAAGAAAGGATTTTAGGTTCTCTTCCTTCTTTAGAAGGTAGAAAAAGGATTAAAGATCCATTTTCATCACTTGGAGGGTGACATAGCATCTAGTTCTCTATTACACCACAGTCGGTGGAAGAGATTCTTGTAAGGGCTTCTCTATCTTATTGTGGGGGCAAAAGGAGAGACACTATAGTGATTAGTGCAATACCCATAGAGGAGGACTACGGGGAGTGGACATAGGTCAATGTTGACCGAAGCACTATAAAATATGGTGTGCTCTATCTTATTTTTACTTTTTAGTACTTTTTATTTATGTAATTTGAGCTTACTTCATGAATCTCATTTTTTACCATCAACTACAATTAGGTTAATTTATGGTTTAAAAAAAATTATTATCTTGATTATATATTTGCACTTGAAAATAAAAAATATTTTAAACCTTGATTTTCTTATGCATGTGTTAGAATAATTGTTTCTTTGGGAATTATTTTTCAAAGTCATTCTCTAGCAAGAATTTTTATTATTGTAGTAATTTTTTTTAGAAGTGCTAATTTACCCCCTGCTCTTGGTCCGCCTTGGCTTAGTTTATTAAGGTCTTACAACCTCCCTGAACTTTTAAGTGGTATCAAAGTGGATCTTAAAATTTAGATTTTAAAATCTTCAAGCAAAGATCAAATAATGTAATTTTGAATTAAGAATACTACAGAGGGTTATTCAATAACCCTTCCATCATTATTTGAAAACATAATTTCAATTTTTAGAAAATTTGCATGTCTACATTTGTACAATCCATTAAATATAAAATTTGGTATATGATTCAAACTGATTATCCACTTCCATCTTAAGTAGTTAATGGTGTCAAAATGTATATTCCCTTTACTAAATAGAGTCATGAGGATAGAGAATTAGTATAATTAAATGCAAAAATTTTAAATTATTTTTTTGTATCTTAAAATTAGAGTATTATATGTAAGTATCTACATGCACTACTTAGAAGAAAATATGGGATAGACTATACACCACATATAAGGGAACTAATGAAGTTAAACAGTCTAGGTTAAATATTCAACTGCATGACTTTAAACTTTTTTGCATAAAATCTAGAGAGATTGTATCCAAAATATACACTAGGTTAACCCAAATAATGACATCTATGTATGCACTAGGTAGAGAATTCTCTAATTCTGAAAAACGTTAATAAGACTTTTACGTTGCCAACCTTGTTTGTATAATGTTAAAGTCACTACTATTTCTGAATCAAAGGACTTAAATGTTTATTCCATTTATAACTTTCTTGGGTCACTCATTGCCTATGAGCAAGGTGTAAGTCAAAGACTACTTGATGCATGTGACAAGAAGAAGGAGAAAACTATGGATCTGAATGAAAATAACTTAGAAAGTGATAGTTTTGTAATGGATGAGGATGAAGACATTGAGTTGATGAACAATTAGTTCAAGAGTTTCCTAAAGAAATGTAAAGGAACTAAAAATTTTAAAGCATCATCTGACACTATATGCTTTGGATGCAAAAAATTAAGACATCTCTTAATAGACTACCCAAAACAGATGACTAACACAGTCAAGGATAAGGGTTAAGAGAAAGAAAAATTCAAAAGAGAAAGAATAGGATGCATAAGGCATTTTGGGCTGACCTTGCCTCAGAATCATCAAAATAAGAAGCAGAGGTGAAGGCAAGAAAGTTGTGTCTTTTGGCTAATGTAAATCTTAATTAGTTAGATTAAGATGAGGTATATCAATGATCATATGATAAATTTTTTATTATTTCAGAGAAAACTCATAATTCATATAGGAAACTTAAAAAGATGTATGGTAGCTTAAAATTGAGTTTTATAATATGCTAAAAGAACATACTAGTTTGATAACTGAGCGTTCTACTTAAGATAATGATCACATGTATTTACTTAATGAATATAACGCATTAAAAGAGAACCATGTTGACCTAACTAATATATATAATCCTTGATGATAAAGCATCTTGAGTTAGAAGAATAATTCAAAGATAGAAGGCAGAAAACCTTGAGTCCCTTTTCACCCTCCTTATGATAGAAGAGAACCTGAAAAAAATTTTCACTCTTCTAGTAAAGGTAAAGAACCTCAAAATTTATCCTTGAAGCTTTCATTCAAAGAGCACCCCATGCAAATCCTTAGATCCCTATGGAGGGATCAAGATACAAACTTGATTAAAGGAACAGTGTGACACCACCACACTACTTCTCCCTCTCACAAACCTCACATTCTCCACACTACTTCACACCGCAGAGAACATGAATCAACGAAGAAAATTTGGTGATAATTGTTGGTCGGACTATAAGTTTGACTATAATTAGTGGTCAGGCAAAAGTCCAATAATAGTCAAGCGATGGATCGATGGTTAGGCAGTGGTTCGAGTATTTGATTTCGCAATCTTAGGCTTGTTGAATTTTTCTCACCGAGCCACTTGAATCGACTATAAGCATGTCACATTTGGTGAGCATTTGGTCATCCAATTTATTGTTTAAACCTTCCAAATATGCTTTAGATCCTCAATTAGGACCTATATGGACTCAAATTGAGTCAAATTTAGTGTCATTGGGTTCATCTTTTCAATACGTTCAGTTTGACTATAAATTTGATGAAATCAAAGTTCGAATGGTCAAGATTTGATTTTAAAAATTTCAATTCAAAATAATTACCTCAAGATTTGTGCCTTATAACTATAAATTTTCGATGATATACCAATCATACTTACTTTTTTTTAGAGAAACTAAATAATAAAGATTTAAGAGAGTTACTCTAGAGAGTTCTAGAGTAGAGGGAAGTAAATAATATTTATATTGAAGTCATTAAGGATCTAAAAAAGTGTTTTAACCAAATATTTTCCTCTTTCAGTGTGACTAAATCAAGGATCATTTATAAGCCAATATCTTTTTACTTTAGTTAGAAATGTTCTTACTATACCTTTGTATATATGAGGATGTACCTTATTGTATGTATTTTTGCTGATTATATTATTCTTATTGAGAAGACTGAGAGAGTTGATGCAAAGCTTGAGTTATAGAGGTCAACCATAAAATATTAAAGTTTCATTTGAGTAGATCTAAAATTGAATATATAGAGTGTAATTTGAATAATAATAGATCCAATGGTGGGATTGTGATATTGGGTGATCAAGTCTTTAAAATGTGTGAACATTTTAGATATCTCGAGTCTATAGTTCAAAGCGAAAGATAAAATGATGGGAAAATTATTAGTAAAGTTCAAGTTGGATTGTTGAAGTGGAGGAATGCATTAGACTTGTTGTATGATAAAAAAGTGCCGCCTCAAACTTCGGGTAAAATTTTATTAGATGGTGGTGAGACATGCAATTGTTTATAACCCAGAATGCTGGCCATTAAAAGAGAAGCACAAAGTTAAGTTGCATGGATGAGGATGCTCAGGTGGATGAGTGGCTTTACACTTAGAGAGAAAATGCGAAACTAGTATATACATGAAAATGTTGGAATAGCTCCAATGGAAAATAATATTAGAGAGAGACATTTTTCATAGTTTTGTCACTAGAATGTAGGCCTATCAATGACCCTGTAAAGCGAGTTAACATATTATATTCAACCTATGTTAAGAAATGTAGAGGTAGACCTAAAAAGATGGTTGGAGAGTCTTAAAAAGGATATTTTTTATTTAGGTTTAACTAAGAATTTTTTACTCGTAATAAAGAAATAAGGAAAAATGATTAATGTTGCAAAACCCATGTAGTGGGATAAAGGCATGTTGTTATATCGTATGCAAATTAACATCATGTAATTGAAATATTATTGAAAATTAACATATTAAATTTAAAAATTCATAATAGAAAAATCATGTATTAACTTTTGTAACTCATTTTAATATGAATTGGTAGAGAGCATAATGATTTAATTTTTTTTTCTTTTTTATTTTTGTATTTTAATAAAAAATTGTGTTAAAAGAGTATTTACCTTGGTTGCATTTATTTTAATCTCCGATGTATTTTGAAAGATTTCCTTTATTGCGTTGAGCTCTGTTATATCTCCTGCTGGTGTGGATGTTGCATGTGCATTGACATAATTCACCTAAAAAATAAAAAATAGAAAAAATAACATGTTTAATATTCATTACGGAGAAGAAAATATACCGTACTTATGACATTTTTAAGGGACAATATTTATCAATAATATTCCATATTACTAAATAGTATTAATAATAAAGAATACTAACACGAATCTTAAGGAACTAATACTTAACATTAAATATGGAACATAATAGAGTATATTGTTATTTTATATAGCTAGTAATATAAACACTCCAAATTTTATTAAAAATAAAAGTTATAAATTTATTAAAATGCTAATGTATTATATAAATAATAAGTTATATTACTCTCGTCTTAATTCCAGAAAATTCAAGGCTTGAACAAATTTTATTCAAGATAACCTCATTTCATTATTTTCTTTAAATCCTTTGCACTAATTTGATTGCTAATATTTCTAAATTAGATCATTTAAAATAATTCAAGCTTAGATCCTAATATTCCCTAATTAGAGTTTTCTTAAAATATGATTTAAAAATACATTTGACCCAAATTAATTTCACTAAGCTAGATAAATTTTAAGATATCTAGTTTATTTTAGATAAATATAATACAATATTTGATTGATTAAGTATATAATAATATCATTTAAAAATAAATTAAATAATTATAAAGTTGATGCGTAACAAATTTAATTATTAATATTCAGTAATTATGTTTAAAATATTAATGTAGAAATTAAGGAACCTCCTCAGGAGAAACTCCAGCATCCTCCATGCTCCTAGTTATGCAGGAAGTGATTCCGAGCACATCTGGGCGTGGCTCAGTAACATGATGAGCATCACAGGTTATTGCACCGCCCAAATACTCTGCAATTATATTTGCCCCCCTTTTCCTTGCATGCTCTAAGCTCTCCATCACCTGCAAAAAAACAAAACAAAGGAGAAATTCATTCAGTTTATTTAATTAATGACAAAACACAAGTGTTAAGTTTATTACGTATAAAACAAAAGCTTCTCTCTTATAAATATCTTAATATTTTGTTATTTTATCATAGATTTAAAAATAAATATAATACTTATTATTATATTATCAGTAAATCAGAATCATATAGCTTAATGTTATTGAAATATAAAGGAATATTAAATGTTAATTTTTCAAGTCTATCTTCGTATAGAATTGAATCAAAATAAGAAAAACATTGGAATTTATGAATCCTAATTAGATTTCTTACTAGTTCTATTTTTTTAGATATTTATAATATATAAGTAAAATATAAAATTTATATTGCAGTTAGCTCAAAGCAAATCTAATTAATATAAGTCACCATAATTAAACTTAATTAGAATTGTTTGGTATACCATAGTGTTTTATAAATTGATTGTTAAAGTCGTTGGAGAAAAAAAAAACTCAGGGTTCATCTGGGATAACTTTTTATTGTACTGGAAAAGTAATGTTTTAATTATTAAAAAAATTAATTAAAAAAAATTTTATATTAAAAGTTGCTTTAGAAAATAGTATATATAAAATGTTGTCCCAAAAAAGCCTCTTAGTAACTCTTGTTAAAAAAAAAAACAACTTTCACCAATAAAAAAGGTAATGAGAAAGCTTTAAGAAAAGAAGAGGCGAACATATTATGATTGTTATCTTAGAAGTAAAAAACTAAAACTTATTCCTTATAGTAGAAATTGTTACGCGTTGAACCTAGACTAGATCATGTCCGGACTCGATGAGAACGTGCTACGCGTTTGTACACAGTAGTATGTACAATTTGTACACACACTTAAGGCTTTCACTGCTTGCTAAAGGGATATCGAACAGGACCTAGACTTTGTCCAGCTGGCTCTTCACCACCGGACAAGCAGGAGTGGTTATTTATTTTTTTGAATGAGGATATGATACCATTTGCTTTCCAATTATACGTACTAACCAGAATTCCAGATCTTCTCCCATGACAAAACCCATCCCGGGCCTTTATCCCATGGACGAGAAGCCTTATCAGGACTCAGCATGCGCAGAGACAAAGCCCGACATGCGAAAAATCCCGCAATGCCCATCGGAAGAATGGGCGCCTCCGTACCGCCGGCGATCATTACATCAGCGTCGCCCTTTCTTATGGATTAGCGGCGGCGAAAGAAGCACAATTGGCTGTAGCACATGCAGTAGATATTGAATAGCTGGGCCCATCAGTCCATTATCAATAGCGAGCAAGGCGGATCCCATGTTTGTGATTAGGACAGGGGACAAAGAATGGGCACAGCTTATGATATCCTCCTTTTGATCATTTTCTCCATCTTGGTGGAGAAGATTGTGTAGCCTCCCACTCCTGCTCCCACCACTGCTCCATTCTCGATCTGTCCATCTATAACATACGAAAATTCATTTATTATAAAATTTAATAACATTAATGTCCAAAATACTTATAAATGTTATGAAAGAAAATTTGAGATTATTATTTTATAAGATTTAATATAGGTCTATAATTTTAGTTGATAATAACTTTATCTATTTTTAACTGAATTTTTTAATAATTGAATATTTTTATAAGAAAAATACAGACGAGTTCAACAATTTAATGAATTCCTATTATGACTGAAAAAGAAAAGGTAATCAAAAAAATATCAATTGACTTTGAATTTAAAAGTAAATTCTTCTTCTTTCTTGCATATTATATTATAATATATTTATGAAAAGCTGAATCTTCTTCTAGGTTTAATATCCTTGGATTTGCAAATCTGGAAAGAACATCATTTAATAGTCATAAAGAAAACTCCACATGCATGTTATTATTTTATTATGTTTTCAACAAAACTATTTTTTGGAAATTAGTGTAGAGCACAAAATAACGTACACACACAACACTTTTGCGAGACTTGAATCAAAAACTCTTATTTTAAATACGGATTGACCTTGTTTTATATATACGCATTTTAGTGATTTGTTGGATTGAGGAGCGTTGGCTACCAATCAAGAATTTTGAGTTCTTGTTTGAGTATGCAATTTGTATGGAGGTTGTTCTTAATGTTGCAAAAACTTCAAAAAAAAAAAAACTTTATTTTATATATTAAATTTCTTTTTTATATTACTATAGAATTTTCTTGGTTTGCACTATTAGATTCATCTTAATAATTTATTTGACCATTTAAATTTTTAATGATAGATTATAAAATTATTATATTTATATATATTAGCAAAGTATAAAAGAAAAATAATAAATTATAATTTATTTTGCATATATCTTAGGCTGCTATTGTGGAATCATATGGTACACCTGCCTGCGCAGCATGAGGAATAAAATGAGACTTGTTTGTTACATTTGAGGCTTATATTTATTGCTCTCACCAATCCCTTTCATTTTAGAAGCCATGAATTAATTTAGACAAAAAGGTGAAATAAATATCTGTCCAGTTTTGTATCATTGTGTCGAGATAATAAATTTTTTGTTCGATTATATTATATAGGTGAGCTGAGGCCTTCAATATTTTAAAAACTATCAAAAGTTTTTAAAAATAAGTGCCATGTATGAATTATAAATTAAATTTTATAACATAAATAATTCAACTAATTAAAATTTATTTTTATTAAATTATTGTCAAAATATATTAATTTAGGGTACTTTGAACTTACATTAATCAGTTGTTGGGGACCAAGATTGGCGCTCTCCAGCGCCTTGTTGCCGGCGACAAGGCAGTATCTCCAGCAGTCGTCCAGCCGACGATCAGACTTTTGATCAACGTACCCTTCCGACAAAAACTCATGAATCTGACCAGCGAATTTAACCGCGAGCTCTGACGTGTTGAACCGATCGATCATTCCAACTCCATTTGTTCCGCGGAGGAGCTTATCGTAGAAACCATCAACGTCGTTTCCGAAGACAGAAACTAAACCCATTCCGCTTATCACTATTCTTTTCTTTGGATCTTTCTCACGCTTGGGAGCAGAAACGGTTGGAGAGCCGTTCATTACTGTTATTCTCTGCAACTTTGTAGCTGAAGGATTTTTTAAATATCAGTATTTTTAAAACTCATTCATATATATATATTTTGATCAGATTATTATATGATAATTCTTTTCTTTAAAATATATATATAATAAAACTCAAATATTTTCGTGCAAAATAAAGGATTTGTTTTTTTATATTTGAAAAGATATTAGATGTATAAATAAAAATTTATATGTGTAATTCAAAGAAAAAAAGTGTAATAAAAATTTAGGAAGCTCACATGATGAAGAGAAGGTTGATCTCCTTGAAAGCTTTTTGATTAAAAATCCACCCCAGGTTGATGAAGGAGCATTGCCACTGCCTTTGAGGGCTATCTCTTTGCTTCCAATCATATCTCTTCTCTCTTTGTATCTGCACGCTCTCTCTTTCTCTCAATCTCTGAAGCAGCTGCTGTAAGTTATTTTGGAGGCCTATAAATAAGCAAAATGGTTCAAATTTAAGGGAAAACATTAATAACTTTTGGCAGTTGGTCCAACCTAAATTCATCTATTACAGGTCTATTCTGAATTTGTGTATATCAGTTCAGTAAAAAAAAAAAAGAATAATCAATAGTTTCCTTTTTCCTTTAAGTTTTTACTTTCTTAGGTTTGGTCAGTATTAGTGCACATGGTATATTAAATGGAAACCAAATGCAGTTTCAGAGACGCATAAATGCTTTATTGTCTTTTTTGAGCTTGTTGACGGGTCAGGGATTTTGCTGTTGGGTTCAGAATCCTTTTCGGTTCGATATTTTTAAATATTTTACAACAAGGAAAAATTTATTGTTGTTGATTGTGTTGACTGAAAAGTAAAAAGACCCTTCCTCTCTGAAAAATTATTAAATGGCTTCATTCCGAAAGTTTTTTTTTTTTTTTGGTTAAAACCCACAGGGGGCCTACGTGTAATTTTAAAAATTCGGTTACACAGTTCTTAAATGGAATCTCCAGCTTGCTAATGCTCAAAAAAGCTACAAGAAAAATAGAAAGAAAACCTAAGAGCCAGTGGTTCATTTTCCTATGATTACAAGAAAGACATAAAAAAAGACTCGGGCTGTGAGTAGACAGCACCCAAAAAAAGAAGATCATAATAATCCCGTTCATCACTATCTTCCTGCAAAACTGATGAAGAAAATTGAAAATGAAATATAAAAACCAGAAAAGGAGTACCTTGCATTCATTGAAGCTCCAGAAACAAAAATGTGATTTTTCCCTGCAAGGAAATCTCCCAAAATATGTATTAGACAGATAGTAAATCAACCTTATAATATAAAAACTGTTATAGTTGTAGTCACCACTGACACTATAACCAAAAGACAGGCCCAGCATATTCCAGTTTAACTAGTTTAAAACCTGATCAGTCTCCTTCCTCATAAACACTAAATTAAACCAATTCTTACAGAAATTAATACTCGAGTCACTATTAAACCTCCAGCAAGCACCAGAGTAAAAAAAAAGCATTCTCTAAAGCCAAAGCTGGCTGGATCGGTAAATACCACATAACGAGCACCCTTCTCCACCAAAGTAGACAAAAACCCCTAGTAGTATTGCAAGAATAAGTAATAAACCAAACCTTGAAAGAGAACATACACATAATATCAGCCAACATCCATCTTCACCCATTATAAATCAGAGGAACAAAATCCAGCATCCAACCGTCAATAATTAGAAATAAACTCAGCAAAACAGTTAACATAATTTCCATGTAAGAGTAAAACTGATGCCAAAATAAGACAGAAGACCTTAACCAGGTGAAGAAAAAAGACTTCCAACTTCCAGGAAGCCCAGAATAAAAACAAAATAAGCAAAAAACCTAGAAACACTGCTTCCCAAGAAGTACATAAAACAAAACAACCAAATCAAGAACCATAAACAACACCAGCAAAAGAGTCATCTAGCTCTGATATACGACAGACCAATCTTGTCCAGATTAACCAAACCTTTCAAAATGCGAGGCAAATTATCAATATCAAATTCCCTATCCTCCTGTAACCTACTACCAAGCTTAGCCAGGCAATCAGCACACACATTGCCCTCTCTAAAAATGTGCTTTATCATATAATTAAGAGTAGAGAGGGCCATACGAATTTTTCTAATAATGTAAAAGACCTGAGGACAGAAAAAATCCACATTTTTAATAATTTGAATTAAGAGTAAAGCATCCACCTCAATCTCAATGTTAATAAAACCTCTGTTATTACAAATGTAAAGACCTTTAAGTAAACCCATCAGTTCAGCAAAAACGACCTTACATGGAGATAAAGGGCCCGCATAAGCCATAATCACTTTACCAACCTTGTAACGTATAATACCCCCAAAACCAGCAAAAGAAAAATCAACAAAACCATCAGTATTAAGCTTCAAACAAGGAGGCATCGGTTTAAACCATCTAACAACCCTTTCACTTCTAATAAGCTCCTCAGTATGAATAGGAATACCCAGATTAACACACAAAACTTTACAGTGTCTGAAATTTTTTCTCGAAATAAGCTTGCCAGCAAATAGTTGAAGCAATTTATGGTTAATATTAGAGATAATAATCTTTGCATCCATCTTAATACCATTATGCTTAGCTTCATTACGAGCTTTCCAAAGGAACCACAGAATAAGAATGGTAATAAGTTAAGAACATGACCTTTAACCGTGGACATCCAATCATTCAATAAGGACTGAACACTACTAACAGACACAAGATCATTTATAGGAATATGTTTATTAACAATCATGGCATAATACCTCCACACTTTTTGAGCAATACTACCATTGATGAAAACATGATTAATACTTTCAATATTAGAACAACAATGACATTTAGAGGGAAGATAAAAATCTTTATTACAAAGACAAGCATCCATCGACCAAAAACCTTTGATACATCTCCAAGCAAGAATAGAGTAAGACAAAGGGATATTATTATGCCAAATAGAACAATAAATACTAGAGATATCATTCTTGTTTCTAAACACCTCCCACACATTTTTGATTTTAAAAAGAACATTAGTAGAGTTGTTAAAAAGAATGCGGTCAACATTAGTAATATGCAAAGGGATGCTCAAAACTTGATTCAAAATGTCCTCAGGTAAAATATATCTAAGCTTATTGACATTCCAATTACCATTATCAATATAATAACTGACCTTAGTAGAAATGAGAGTATGAGAAGATAGCATATTGTCAATCGAGCCCTTCCCTAACCAATTGTCTTGTCAGAAAAAGATATACCCTTTACCCAAGCCCCATTAGATAAACAGATCCGCTTCCCAACTAATCTTATATAAACATTTCCAAATAGAAGAATCAGTTTTTTTTAAATTACACAGAGTATGATGCACCTATTTATAATACTTAGCATGCATAAATTTAGCCTATAAACTAACTTTAGATCTAAAGGAAAACCAAAGTTTATAAGAAAAAGCCCTAACCATGTCCAAAATACTCTTACAACCTAAACCACCTTCATTAAAAGGCCCACACATTTTAGACCAGGAAGACCAAAAAATACAAGACCTATCATTCTTAGCTCCCCAAAAAAATTTATTGACCATTCTTTCCAGTCTAAGGCAAGTAGTGGGAGCAGAGTTAAGAGTGTGAAAAATGAAAATAGGGATAGAATTTGAAACATGTTTAATAAGCACAAGTCTACCACCAAAAGAAAGAAAATTAAAAGACCAATTGGTAATTTTGCTTTGGAAAACAATGACCATATCCTAAAAAATCATTCTTTTTTTTTTCCCCTTGAAAATAGGGGTACCTAAATATTTAATAGGCAAAGAGGAGCAATTAAACTCACAAATCCTTTTGATATCATTAATTTTACCTTGAGTAGTAGATTTAGAGATAATAAAAGTGTTTTTATTCTTATTAATTGAAAGCCCACTCATGTTCTAAAAATCATTCAAATGCTTGATAAGAAATTTAATATTAGTTAAAGAACTATTAGCAAAAATAATAAAATCATCGGCAAAACTAAGATGAGCAATAGGGATACCACCCATAGTGCGATAAAGCAAATTTGGATACCTTTTGTAAGGAACCTCCAAGCCCCTAGACAAATAGTCCACCGCAATGATGAACAAAGCAAGGGAAAGAGGATCACCTTGACGCAAACCTTGATTGGATTTAAAAAAAAACTATTACTTCTACCATTAATGATAATAGAAAAATAGCAATTTTCACTACTGTTTTTAATCAATGAAATAAAACCTTGGCTAAAGCCAAGTAAAGACAGCACTTTATATAAAAAATCCAAACACAAGTTATCATAAGCCTTAGTAATGTCTAATTTAAAAATGATGTTCCAGCATTGTATGATGCGTAATTTCTTGAGCACGCTAAATATTGTCAAAAATGCTTATACATTTCACAAAGCCAGTTTGGTTCTGAGATATAATTCTAGGTAAGATAGTAATAAGTTTAGTAGTAATGATCTTAGATATAAGCTTATTGAAAAAGGAACATAAGCTAATAGGTCTAAAATCATTCCAGTTATTGGTAGCCTCCTTCTTAGAAATTAAAACAATATTAGTAAAAGAAAAAAATTTAGTCTATGGTGTACCCAAAAAAAAAAAAAATTAGAGACAGCATCCATAATATCCCACTTGGTAATATGCCAAGTCTTAACAAAAAACTTAGTAGTAAAACCATCAAGACCAGCAACAGAATCACCATTCATCTCATGCATAACCTTCTAAACCTCCTCCGACGGGGCAAGAGTAAGTTAGAAATTATCCGTCTCTTAAATACAACAAGGGACAATATGAGGATTAACAATAGGGGACAGTTTGAAACCACAATTAAAAATATTTCTAAGATGTTCCACACTAGAGTTTAAAATAGAATCTTCCTCCTGCAAGACCCTACCATCATCACTAGAAATTTTGAATATGTGGTTCCTAATTTTTTTCTTGTTAGCTAAAGCATAAAAAAAGTTGGTGTTCCTATCACCTTCAACAGTAAATTTAGTAGTAGCTTTTTTATGCCAATAG